CATGAGCCTCTTTGTTACATGATAAATAGTAAATAGGGTGAGAGGGTAAAGTTGCCAAGGCTTAACGGACCATAGTGGACACACATTTGAAAGAATTGGACAAGTAAGCTCTAGCACAGCAGTGCATGTTCTGTTAACTTGAGATAGAACACATCTATCATATCCCAACAACAATTCATCATAATATGGTTCCTTTCAGCCTTTGACCAGTAATTTAGACATGATCTTCCTAAGGGAGAAGAGCATTTGTAGATGAGGCTTCATATTATATTGATGGATCTGTTAAATTAGATTTTTCCTAGTAGCTATTGAGCAATTGAGCTACTAAAATTCCACCTCCCTCCTCACCCCCTCGCCAAGAGCTTTTGTGTACTTCATCATATACAATTACCAGAACTAGAATACTGCCCACAACAGTCCTATTAAAATTAAAAAGGAATGTGACATACAGTATGAGAGACTTCTTAAACACCTCCCAGCATGATGAAAAAGGATGTCCTTTATCCATATTCTTTCCTGAAATACATCTACTAAATAATGGCAACATTACCAGATCCAAGGAAATCATTATAACTGTTCAATCCACAGACAAGACAAGTAAGATCTGCTTAAATGATTTATTGAGCACTTTCTGGGTCAGGCATGGTGCCAAGTATTTTACATCCATTTTCTCATGTGATCCTTAGAAAAACCTTATAAGGGTTTTACTGCCATCATACCAATTTTATAGGTGAGGAAATGGAGGTTCAAAAAGGTTAAATAAATTGCCCTGTATCTCAAAGTTAGTAAATGGAAGAGGCTAGGATGTTAAATTTTTCAGTTATAATTATTTCACAGAGTAACCAATGTACTTATTAATTCATTGGCTGTATTCCAACAAGTTAGATTTGCTTGAATTAAGGATTCACATTCCATGTAAAACCACAAAGTACACTCAGCTAAGCTACTTAAAATAACAAAATACACATCTGAGTGGAAAGATTATTGCCTGACACTAATTTCAGGGGTTATTTCCATGAAACCAAAAATGACTTAAATGCCTGTCTATTGCTAAAACAACAAAAGAAATCATACATGAAATCTATTCATAATGAGTACAAATACAGCAATGATTCCTTGGTTAAACTGTCATTCTTGACAGTTCTGGAAAACAATTAATAATAATATAGGGAGTTTCATGCCATGAAAGCAGAGCCAAGCAGACACAAACGTAGGCTTTAGACTAGATCTATCTAACTTCACTGCTGATGAGCTATGTAAATTTGGGCAGGGTATTTAAACTTTCTGAGCTAGTTTCCTCATCAGTGAAGTGAGGCTCTGACTTCCTGAATGGCATGGATGCTGTTAGGCTTAGTGGATTGCATGGAAAGGCGACTGTGACACGGTGTGTCTCACTCAATCCTTATCCATCATAAAATTCCCTGGAATGAATGACATCAAAATAATACATTTTACTCTCTGAGGCTGAAAATCTGTATGCCAGGAAAAGAAAAAGCAGGCACTGCAATAAATTTGGAAAAACTGAATTAAAAGACACAGTGTACCTACTACTAAATGTTCTTTAGACCACAGGTGAAAGGGGGAAAATCTAAGTTCTCTGTACTCCTTACAATCCTAAAATTCAAACAGGAATGCTATTCACAATGTGTACTTTTAGTAAGAAGTTATATTGGTAGGGAGAAAAAAAAAAGACCATGAATAAGAAAAGGGAAAACCTGAAGTTTTCAATTCTAGGCTTATGCTGCACACAGTATTTTTTCCAATCCTCTGCTAATTTTTATAGGTCGGATATACTATGAAAGAGTTTTGGAAGAATTCAAGGTTTCAGCTCTGAGCAGTTCTGTGAAAGTGTTAGTCCCTCAGTTGTGTCCAACTCTTTGTGAATCCATGAGCTGTATCCTGCCAGGCTCCTCTGCCCATGACTTCTCCAGGCAACACTGGAGTGAGTAGCCATTCCCGTCTCCAAAGGATCCTCCCAACCCAGAGAGCAAAGCTGGGTCTCCTGCACTGCAGGCTGCTGCTTTACTGAGTCACCAGGGGAGCCCCATTACTGAGTAGCTCTGTAACCCGAGACAAGTCATGAATTCTGATATGAATTCATATCTCTATAAAATGAATATTTGGATTATTTGCACTCATTCTACCATCTCTACTAGCTATGAAATTCAATACCTATAAACTTGTAATTTTAGTAACTGTCAGCAAACAGATTCTAGTAGGAGATAAGTGAAAGGTGTTTATTAAAACATTTGAAGGAGATTCCAAGATATGCCCATAAATAAGTACATTATTTGACATAAAGAAATCAAATCTTGTGCATAACAACTTTAGCTAGTTTCAAAATAAAATAAAATAAACTATACTATATTAAAAATATAAGACAAAATGAAGTACTGTTGGGGCATCTATGTAAGTATAAGGTATGGCAAACCAATAAAATTAGAATTTGAATTTATGTTATAGCTTGTAGAATCAGCTTTGTCAGTTTATATTGATATGCTTAATGTGTTTGTTATATGAAAATCCTGTTTCATTAATTTATTTCAAAGAGGCTATAAATGTTTTTACCTAAATAAACTGGGCTCTATGCTAGCTATAAGAATGATACCAGTGATTAAATATTTCACCTTTTAATAGGGATAGATGTTAATTACATAAACAATGATAAGTACTGCAAAGGAAGAATTAAAACTGCAATGTGAAAAATTAACATAAAGTCTGATATAGATTGTGGATTTATGAAGACATTCCTGAGGAAAGGACTTCATATTGAAGTTGCAAACCATAAATGAAAAGTCAAAAAAAAAAAGTAGAGGGAACCTGAAAAGACGACATACTGTATGATTCCAACTATCTGACATTCTGGAAAAAAGCAAATTCCAGAGACAGGAAGAAAAGATTATTGGTTGACAGGAGTTACGAGAGAGGGAAGGATGAATAGGCAGAGAACAGAGGGTTTTTAGAACAGTGAAACTACTTTGTGATACTATAACAATGAATACATGTGACTGTGTGTATTAGTCACTCAGTTGTGTCGACTCTGAGACCCCATGGACTGTGGCCCACCAGGATCCTCTGTCCATGGAATTCTGCAGGCAAGACTATAAATTGGTCCAAACCCATACAGGTGTACAACATCAAGAGTGAATTCTATCATAGGTTATGGACTCTGTGTAACAATGATGCGTCAGTGTGAACCCTATCATTTATAAAAAATATATCACTCTGATGTGGGGATACTGATAACAGAGGAGGCTATGCATGTTGGGAGGTAAGGAACCTACTGCAAATACTTAAAATTTCACCTCAAATTTTGCTGTGACCCTAAAAGTGCTCCAAAAAAAAGGATAGTAAAAAACACACAGAAGAAGATTTAAGATGTGCAGCTGTTTATAATAGCCAGGACATGGAAGCAACCTAGATGCCCATCAGCAGACGAATGGATGAGGAAGCTGTGGTACATATACACCATGGAATATTACTCAGCCATTAAAAAGAATTCATTTGAATCAGTTCTAATGAGATGGGTGAAACTGGAGCCCATTATACAGAGTGAAGTAAGCCAGAAAGATAAAGACCATTACAGTATACTAACACATATATATGGAATTTAGAAAGATGGTAATGATAACCCTATATGCAAGACAGAAAAAGAGACTCCGATGTATAGAACAGACTTGTGGACTCTGGGAGAAGGCGAGGGTGGGATGTTTCAAGAGAACAGCATCGAAACATGTATATTATCTAGGGTGAAACAGATCACCAGCCCAGGTTGGATTCTTGAGACAAGTGCTCGGGCCTGGTGCACTGGGAAGACCCAGAGGGATCGGGTGGAGAGGGAGGTGGGAGGGGGGATCGGGATGGGGAATACATGTAAATCCATGGCTGATTCATGTCAATGTATGACAAAAACCACTGCAATGATGTAAAGTAATTAGCATCCAACTAATAAAAATAAATGAAAAAAATAAAAATAAAAAATAAAAAAATAAAAAAAAAGATGTGCAGGACTTGAAGCAGGAAATTTTTAAGGATTTGAAATAGAAGACATGGGTTTCTTGTCATTCTAAGACAGTCTTTATCCTTTTAAGATATTTCTCAAATTAAATATGAGCTGTGAATGAATTCTAAACTAAAAACTAAAATTTAAGGCATTAAGTGCTCATGTAAAATTATTATGCTAAAATGATCTCTAACAATTATACAAATTTATTCCATAGTACTTGTTACCTAATGTATTATATATGTGTGTATATATATAAAGATATACATATACACACATATATAATACATATAATATCTTTATATGCTTATATATATATATACACACATATATAGATATAATAGGACTTCCGCGGTGGCTCAGTGGTAAACAATCCACCTGCCAATGCAGGAGCCAATGGCTTGATCCCTGGGTCAGGAAGTTTCCCTAGAGAAGGAAATGGCAACCCACTATTGCATTCTTGCCTGGGAAATCCCATAGACAGAGGAGACTAGGAGGCTATAGTCCATGGAGTCACAAAAAGAGTCAGACATGACTTAGTGATTAAGAAACAGTATAGATTTAACAAGTACCATCTATAAAACTCCATATAACTTCAGTTCAAAAATAGATACAAGGTAAATTAGCATCTGTTTCAGTTTCTAATATGATGTAACAAATTAAGCCAAAACTTAGTGACTTAAAAACATTTATTAAACCCCTGGGCTTTATGAATCCAAAACACAGGCAGGCGGTGATGTGTCCTTACCATATAGTCAAAGCTGTTTTTTTCCCAGCAGTCATGTATGGATGTGACAGTTGGACCATAAAGAAGGCTGAGCACTGAAGAATTGATGCTTTTGAATTGTGGTGCTGGAGAAGACTCCTGAGAGTTCCTTGGGCTGAATGGAGATCAAATCAGTCCATCCTAAAGGAGATCAACCCTCGATATTCATTGAAAGGACTGAAGCTGAAGTTGAAGCTCCAATACTTTAGCCACTTGATGCAAGAAACCAACTCATTGGAAAAGACCCTGATGCTGGGAAAGATTGAACGCACAAGTAGAAGGGGTGACAGAGGATAAGATGGTTGGATGGCATCTTCAACTCAATGGACATGAATTTGAGCAAACTTCAGGAGAAAATGAAGGAGAGGGAAGCCTGGCATGCTGCAGTTCTTAGGTTTGTAAAGAGTCAGACACGACTGAGCTACTAAACAGCAACAACAATATCCCAAACTAGGAATATCTGAAGCTGGGGCTCATTTGTCAGGTGAGGGCTGCAATCCTCCAAAGCCTCCTTCACGCACATATCTCTTGCCTGCGAGGAAATAACTGAAAGATGAGGACTGCTGGCTGTAGCTCCTAAATACAGCCCCACCATGTGGCTTTGCATCCTCCCAGAATGTGTGTTTGTTTTTTTTTTTCCTCCCAGAATGTTGACGTAACAAATAGTCAGACTTAAGTAGCCAGACTTCTTATATGGAATCTTTGGACTCCAAACACAAATATTCCAGAGAATAAAGTAAAAGCTGCATCACGTCTGGGGACTTGGCCTCTGAATTAATGCACTTTCATTTCTGCTATATTCTCTTAACCATAAACAATTTGTATAGTACTAGTATTAGTCACTCAGTCATGTCCAACTTTTTGCAACGCCATGGACTGTAGCCCACCAGGCTCCTCTGTCTATGGGATTCTCTAGGCAAAAATATTGAAGTAGATTGTAAGCCCACCTAAATGAGAGAAAGTACACAGACACCACCTATTAATTAAAGGAAGTGTGAAAGAATCTGTGGCAATTCTTTATTTCCACAACACCTAAAGCACTACTCTTATCATGAAAATAATAACCTCTACTTCCAGATGTGCTGGGTAAGTCTACTTCCTCTCAGGAGATTATTATTTCTCCTACAGAAATGTAAGCATTCTCAATCTAATTTTGCTGTCACCTTCGTATATTCTCTACCTTGACTGGCCAGAGTGCCTCTTGTAACTGCTACTACAGTCTCACCTAGGGACCGATATTGATTACTTTGATCACTATCCCATCATCTTAACAATCACTTCTCTCCTCAACATTTCATTAACACATATCAATGTAATAATTATTTTAAATTAATAATTTAATTATAATTAGTAAATAATATTTAGATAATGTTTTAATAATTCTATTAAATTCCTAAGTATCCAAGCTGATCTTTTAAGTTCCAGACTTTCACAGCCTAGTTTGACTAGAAAGCAACCATTTAAAAAATGAAGGAAATAATCAGCCAAGAATAAAGAAATAGCTATTCCATATTCAAATTTCTAAATATAAATTGAGAAAGCAAAGTATCGAAGAAAGTAAATCAAATACCAAAATCTAACTTAAAAATAGATTTTAAATTATCACAACATTAAAAGTGAATGAAAACTGACTTATGGGACAAGCATTAAGAAGAACAAACTGATAATATAATAACAGTGAATATGATAGATTTTGTTCATTTTCATTTTACAAAATATCTACTCTGGGGAACATAATTTTACAGATCTACTTTAATGTCATTTAACAATCTTGAGCTCATAGATTTATTATTTTAAGCCTGATTAGAGCTAAATACAAATTTAATTTCATGGGCTTTAAAGTTTACTAACTTTTCACGTGGACATTTTTTAGAATGCATTCATATAAATTTTCTGTCTTTGTAAATTGTCCCAAATGGGATCATAAATGTGTCCATCTCATGTTACTACTGGTATGATAAACTGAGATAAAGTCAAGTCAGAATATTTAATACTCAGTATATGTTACTCATTATCATCATCATCATTATTGTTACTAAGAGCTCATGCTGGAAATATAAACCCAGGCTTAAAAACCTGAAATATTATACTGGAAAAAGAAAAGTGAAATTAACAAAAATAAACAAGCTTTTAAAATACAATTAGAGACACAATAAACTAATTTAAAACACTGCAACTTAAATCACTAATTCAGTCAACTAATTTATCCTAAAATTTTTTATAAGAGGGAATAGAAAAAAATGGTGTCACAATTTTTAATATTACGTTTTTATAAGAAAAAACAAAGCTTTTTGCATGGAAAAATTTCCTCCAACCGAAACGACCTTTTATAGGTAAATTTAAAACTCCAGAAAAGAAATATATTGAAAAAGTTAAGATGTCATTAGCTTTAATACTGAAAATAATCACCACTTAAAAAGTACAAATCTTTGTCAGTACCAAAGATAGTTCTGTATTACTGACCCTATTATTTAGACACATATGTAATTTATTAAGCACTACTGTATAGCAGTCATTTTTGCAACTCTTTTTCATCCTTTTTCTCGTTTAATCCTCATAAACCCTTAAAATGTTACTACAATTATTATTCCCATTTCATAAATAAGAAACTTATACTTAGGAAGCTTAAGTATTGTTTAAAGTCACACAGGCAAGCAATGGGATAACCAGGATTTAAGCCTGAAGTATGTCTTACCCCAAAGCTCATGCTTTCAACCATTAAGCACACTGCCTTCCACAAGGTGAATGAAAGTAATGACAATCTAAATCTGCCAGGCACTTCATATACTTTCTCTTTTTTACAGATGAAGAAATTCACAAAAGGTTAAGTTACTTGTAAGTATTAAAAGTTCCAGAACTTTTCCTTACTTAGTATTTCTCCTGGTATGTTCTATGGATTACTCATATGAAAGTTATCAGATGCTACTTTAAAAGTCAGATTCTTGAGTCTAGTTACAGAAATACAGATTTGATAAATCTTGGGCATGGCGCTTTTTTTGTATGTTCCATATAAAACTATTATAAAATGTTTGCTATATTCCCTGTATTATACAAGAAGAAAATCCTTGTATATATCTATTTTATACAGTTGTTGTACCACTTAATCCTCCTATCCATTTTGCCCCTTTCCCTCTTGTGACAACCACCAGGTCTACTCTCTGTATCTGCCAGTCTTTTTATGTTTTGTTCTATTTTTCCACTTGTTTCATTTTTTAGACTTCACATATAAGTGAAAACATACAGTATTCCCCCTATGAGGTACTCCAGAGTTCTCAGGAGTGTGCATGTGTGTCTTTCTGATGAGAAGTTTTCTAGTTTTTGACTTAGTATATCCAATGAGAGAATGAGATATTCATTGATGTTGTTTTGTCTCTAAGTTATGTCCGACTCTTTTGCGACCCCATGGACTATGGCCCACAAGACTCCTCAGTCTATGAGATTTCTCACACAAGAATACTGGAGTGGGTTGCCATTTCCTCCTCCAGGGGATCTTCCCAACTCAGGGATCAAATCCATGTCTCCTTCATTATTGGCAGGAGGATTCTTTACCACTGAGCCACCAAGGAATATTCATAATTGGTTTAAAAAAAAAAGATGAAATTTTGTCTCCAGAATATGCACTTTTAACAAGAGGTCATTTTATTGATTCACATTCAGGACAAAGAATAGATACTTAAATAGATACTTAAAAAATAAGTATAGATACTTAAAAGGCTTTCTGAAGGCCTTTTAAGCTTTCTGACATTAAAGTATCACTAAGTAATATTTATAGAAATAAGGAAAATGAGAAACATGAATACTCGTTGGCTCTGGTTTATAAAATTCAAAGATACAGAGAAAATCCACCCTCAAAATGTTGTTTACAAAATTGGAAAAGAAACAATGCCACTTCAGGAGTATTTAATAGTTGGCATTTATTATATATAATATTTACTACACACCAGGTATTGTGCTAAACCTTAAGAATTATGGAAATTATCATCATCATTTTAAACATGAGGAAACTTAGGATTACAGAAGTTAACTAATCTGACCAAGATTTTAAATACAGTCTTAAGAGCTGAGATTCAGATTCAAGGCAATTCGATTCCAAACGCCTGAACTGTGCCAGCTCCATTCCATAACCACCCCCCGCCAACCACCACCTCCAGCATTACCACCATCACTACAGCTATCACCACGACCACAAGCTCCCAATCTTTTGCCTCAACTTGTGTTTCTGAAGAAATAGTTTCCAGAGCACAATTAGAGTAGTATTAGTTGTAAGGACATGAAGTTAATATTCAAAATATACACTCAAAAAAGAATTTTCAACAGTAGAAACTAAAAGTATATATTTTACGACACGACCCAGGAAATTATTACCCAAAGTAAAATGAAAGGACTGCTGTAATATGTAATAGTGCCTCAATTTATATGGAAATATTTCAACTAATAAAATACTTCAAGAAGCATTTTTGAGACTATGAAAATATAAGTAGAAGGGTAAATCGGATAATATTTTAAGTATAGGTACAGTCACTTACTCTTTTGTATCTTGTGGAATTTGAAAATGTATGACCTAATGCAATTAGCAAGCAAGTATACAGTAAGAATTCGGTGTGAAAAATAATTAGGTTTATTAGGAATAAATGATTCCCAAAGCTCTAATCTATTTCCACAGTTTAGGACAAAGAAGGCAATGCAACACAGGTTAACTTTCAAAATACATTTCACTTGCAGTTAAAGCCTGTTAATGAGAGAGCCTTATTAGGTAAAATGGTGTCACACTTTGACATGACACAGAAAAAACATCAACTAATAGATTTTTTTTTCAAAATTTCCATTCCTTACATTTATTTGCATCATATAACTACATACCAAACCAAGCATAACATGGGGGTTTTGACACTATCATACTTCATACAAGGACATTTCAAATAAAGAAAATTTGGAAAATGATGACAGATGTCTGCATTGCACCATCCTCTCATTACTCTTCACAGGTCCCCAGATTAGCCATTTGAAACTAATTCATTAATGACTTAATGAATTGTGCACATATGCTCAAAGATACCATAACAAGATTGTTCTCTGTGGCATTTTTATGCAAAGGGAAAAAAAGTAAACACAACCTATTTGTTCCTCACTAGAAGAAAGAAAAGCCATAAATTACTCATATAACAGAATGCTATCAATAACTAAAAGTAATAAACAAAATCTACATATTTTGACATGCATATATCACACAAAAAAAGTCAAAAGAACCAGAT